AAGAGCGGTGACGAGATATCGCGAAAAATCGCAAAAAGAAAAGAAATATTCGCGAAGGAACGACGATTCGACACTCCCGTTCGCGCTACTCCGTTCGCCCAGTTTAAATCACGCGCGCCTCGACTACCCCGCTATGCAGATGCGGCGCAGAAGTTAAAAATACGAACGAGCAAAAATTCTGATCGATCTACCTCTCAGGATCTCCTCGAGATTTATTTTTCCGATTGCTATCCTCCTGTTTGTACAACGAAATTTGGGATATACGTGAATCGCGTGAAAATGGGTTAAAAATGCGCGGTAGTGAAAGGAAAAAGGGTTAATCGAAATCCTGGATGCGTACTCGCGCCACTAACTACCGCTGGACATGGTGGGACGGCCGCGGCGCGGAGGTGAATGCGCGCGCATCCCCTCGCCCCCCACCAACGTGACCGACAAACAGCAACGCGCTATATATGACGTCACCGGAGTAGGTCGCGGCACTCAGCTGACGGCTGCATTCAGAAGTCGAGGAACCGTGACACTTTACGATTACCACACGAGTTCAGGTACGATCCCACTGACTCTGCTCCTCCGTTCGTGCCGCGTGGGCGTTTAGCGATGACTTTGAGACCTTTTCCGCGTTCTTTCTCCTCTCTTCTTTTCTCTTTCTCGCGGTTATCGGTCGTCGACGCTTCATCCTTCTCGCTGCTTAAGTCTCTGGAGCAGGACCGTGATTGTGTAATTCTTCGAAATTTTTTATTCCTTTCCCTTTTTCGACGATCTATCAATTTTTCAATTTCTAAGGATTTTTCGATTTCTCATTTTTCAATTTTAATACTTTCAAGGAAGTATCGCGAAGTGTCTTTGGTTCTTTTGGATTATTATAAATGGGGTTATAGATTTTTTGGGTTGATTTAGGATTCTTTGCTTTATGTTTTATAATGATCTTTTTCGATGGACTACACGTTTATGGTTCGTAATTTTTTAATTAAGAAAAATGTGTCGCACGGTTATAAAATTTGTTTAATTAAAAATCGATCGTTGGTCAATAGACAGTGTCGAGTAAGGATGTTAAGTTCATAAGTGTTGCTCGTCCCGTGAATGAGTGGGCATTAGTACTATCGTGTAAAGTAGTTTAATGACGAGTGTCACGTAGGAATATCGAGATAATATTTTATTAACATTCCAGGATCGCAAAATTAATATTAATATCTGTCTGATTAACACCTGCTGCTAATTTTAAGACGAATGTCTTCCTTTTTGAATATTTGATCGATCTGAGATAATAAACAGCCAGTCTTTTATCTGTCATCGCGAATTATTGCCAACTCTTAAAATACACGTGACACAAATATTTCATAATACCACGATTTCTTAATACCTAACACCACGATAAACACATAACTCGAGGAATTTAAAAATCTCAAATGCCTTGATCATTGATTACATATTACACGATGATGAAGGATAGATATCGCGATGGGTTCAAGATTCGCAATCTATTTTCCTGTAACGATTTAACCGATATTGGCGTCAAATTATTCCACGATTTGGTATTTTATAATAATTCGAGACTATGAATTCGTGTAGTAGTCACGCGCACTTATCAGCCGCTGGAAAATTACTTATCCTATGGGGAAACGGCCGATATTTTCATTTATCACTGTATTTGCGTAAATATGTAAATACAGAGATACGTAGAAAATTTCTGAATAGAATAATTCAATTTTTCCTCATTTCTTTTCATTTTCGAGTTTTCCAACGTCGATTATGCTTCTTAATATGATAATTATATTAGCGATTAACATGCTTGATATTCATCGAAGTTATTATCGTGCTTTCTCAGGGTTTAATCGAGAAATTGCGTTAAACCATCTTCAAATATGGCGGAGTCTCTGGAACAGATGCCGAAATCTGAGACGATTCGACTTCGTGATCGTCACATCGGGTAAATATTCGATCAATTTGTTAATTATGGTTGCTATCACGAGTGAACAAGAAACGATCGTTTTGCAGGCAGGCGTGCAAATTGTTCTACAAATCGAATCCCTTGAAAATCGTTCGAGCTGAAGGACAATACATGTACGACGAGAGGGGCAATCGCTACTTGGACTGCATTAACAATGTTGCTCACGGTAAATCGATTAATAAAAATTATCAAAATTATCGGGAATGTGTTATCTTAAATGACAGTAAACATATTTAATAGAAGATTGTAAATTAACAGTATATATATTTAAAGACACTTTGACCAACAGAAATAAGGATAACACACAAAATAGGTACACTATGTGTGTACATGCGATGTTTCGTAAACACATATGAACACACGAGTTGTACCTCCTACATAACATCAAACGTATATCCATTGAAACGACTGGTTTTCTATTTTTACTAGAAACCTGTAGCTGCTTTGACGAACATGTAGCTTCTTTCAGATAGACGCGTTATTACATACACCTGTCTAATTTTAACATACCAGTTGTAGCACGTGAAACATCTTATAGGTACAAGTACTAGGACAGAAAGAGTCTTTGGAAATATAATTATTGACCGATTAACGCTAGAACTACCAAAAGTGTCAGAATGACATGTCTCAGACGTTTTATCTTAGCAATTGCTGCGAGTATGCTTTCCATTTTTATTCGAACGTGATGGTAACTATTATTATTAATGCTAGAACTGCCAAAAATGTAAAAATGACATGTCTCAGACATTTAATCATCGCAATTGCTGCGAGTATGGCTTCAATTTTTATTCAAAAGTGGTGGTAACTATTATTATTAACGCTAGAACTGCCGAAAGTGTCAAGGTGACATGTCTCAGACGTTTTATCTTAGCAATTGCTGAGAGTATGCTTTCCATTTTTATTCGAACGTGATGGTAACTATTATTATTAATGCTAGAACTGCCAAAAGTGTCAAAATGACATGTCTCAGACATTTTATTTTCGTAATTGCTGCGAGTATGCCTTCGATTTTTATTCAAAAGTAGTAGTAACTATTATTATTAACGCTAGAACTGCCGAAAGTGTCAAGATGACATGTCTCAGACGTTTTATCTTCGCAGTTACTGCGAGTATGCTTTTCATTTTTATTCGAACGTGATAACTATTATTATTAACGCTAGAACTGCCAAAAGTGTCAAGATGACATGTCTCAGACATTTTATCTTAGCATTTGCTGCGAGTATGGCTTAGATTTTTATTCAAAAGTGGTAGTAACTAGTATTATTAACGCTAGAACTGCCAAAAGTGTCAAGATGACATGTCTCAGACGTTTTATCTTCGCAGTTACTGCGAGTATGCTTTCCATTTTTATTCGAACGTGATAATAACTATTATTATTAACGCTAGAACTGCCAAAAGTGTCAAAATGACATGTCTCAGACATTTTATCTTAGCATTTGCTGCGAGTATGACTTAGATTTTTATTCAAAAGTAGTAGTAACTATTATTATTAACGCTAGAACTGCCAAAAGTATCAAGATGACATGTCTCAGACGTTTTATCTTCGCAGTTACTGCGAGTATGCTTTCCATTTTTATTCGAACGTGATAATAACTATTAATATTAACGCTAGAACTGCCAAAAGTGTCAAAATAACAAGTCTCAGACATTTTATTTTCGCAATTGCTGCGAGTATGGCTTCGATTTTTATTCGAACGTGATCGTAATTACGTATGCTCTTTCATTATCGCTTCGATTACGAATATAGGTACTCGTTAGAAATCGGTAGTTCTAGCGTTGATACGACGAAGTACATAAACGAGCAATGAACTAAAGGAAGAAACTTGCAGTGGGCCATTGTCATCCTACGGTGGTGCGTGCGGGCCAAGAGCAGATGGCTCTGCTCTCCACCAACAATCGTTTCCTGCACGACAATCTGGTGATATGCGCGCAACGGCTGACCTCGCTACTTCCGGAACCACTGTCCGTCTGTTTCTTGGTGAACTCCGGCAGCGAGGCCAACGATCTCGCGCTTCGCCTAGCCCAGACGCACACCAAGAACAAGGACGTTATCACTCTCGATCAGTAAGTCATCCTGCTAAACGAGACCAGCGACAGAGACCGGAGACAGAGAGCTTCCGAGAAAACTGTTAGACACCAAGTACCACTGCGACGATCTCGTTGTCTCAAAAGTGGAGCAAGCTAGCGATCGGTTACCCCCAAAAATTCGTCATACTGGGTGAGAATTTGGAAATTCCTCACGCGTTGGAAACTCACGAAATAGATCCGCAAGATCCACAGAGAAACGAGATCGTGGCAATCCAACAGGACCCCACTGCTTTTAACTTTTCCGACTAAATCTGCGTCCCTCGATAAGAAAAGAAAGCGGAACACCCTGCGTAGTGCCTCGTGAAACGTGTCTCGAACATTTCCAGGGAGCCTTCGTTTTATCCTTTCGATCAGGGCAAAATTCAGTTGGGTAGCCATACGATGAGCTCCGACTAGTGTAACGAAGCCGGTAGGAACACGATGATTTTTCAGGCTACGATGATTTCTCTCAGCCAGACAGCTTCTTTAATCGACAGCCGACTAATCGTGTGGGTTTTCTTTTTTGCCTGTTTACAGCCGTTCGCATACCCATAGGCGTGCTTGAAACACGTGGAAGAATGCAACTGGACAGAGGAGTCGACGAGACAACCACGGAGGTCATTGATCATCCGATCGACGAATTTTCGTGCACGCGCAGTCACGCCAAAGTCGCGTAAAGCTATTGTCGTTTTAGGTGACACGCGCGTGTCGCGCGACTGCCATACGACAAGTCAAGGAATACGGACGAAAGTTGGCAACGCAAAAGTAATTTTATATATCCTCATAGAGAATATCCAAACATGGGGAGGATGCGACTCGAAGTGGACGAATGTTCACGATAGAGATGAGGCTCATAGAGGCTAACAGGGTTGCGACAGCTGGACACAGCAGTTCGACTGGATCGCGACAGGCGAGGTTACGTTATCAAGGGTGTGATCGTGAGAATATCCTCGTCAAGATTATTCAAAACTCTTCGATGACTCGTTACGATCAATCCTTGTCTCGAAGAAGGTTCAAGTTGGATCTGAATAGCTACCGATAGACGCGTGTTTATCTTCCGGAGGAGATAAGAATCACGATGTCAGGCGAATATCAACCAAAGTTAGACAGGTACACCGAACAGGTGTCGTCGATCAAGCTGAGATTAAGACAGATTAAAATCACCTACGTTCATAGACCAATTAACGATCCAACGATTCACAAAGGGTCCCTTTGCAGCTGCGCTAGCCTAGTGTCCTCCGTGTTCACCCTCTGCTTTGCAAGCGACCCGTTGTGAACGTGTGACGCGTCGCGAAATTAGACCTTTTGATAACGTAATCCTGCGTTAGCGTAATTACGTCGAGTCGGCTGCGTGGCCCTGTCTGCCTCGTGGTCCACGTGCAAACTGTGACAGCGTGAGATGCGTACGCGCGTTCGCGAAGGATTCGCGATACGTTACTTGTACTCTTCCTCTTTCTCGATGACGAGAGTCGTCTCGACGACGAGAGGAGCGAGCACGAAGAGAAGAGAATGAGAATTTTCAGGACGCGCGAAGAGGATGAGATGCTCTTTGAATCGACCCTGTCATTGTGGAGGATCGCAACGAAATGACCGCTTAGAGTTAGAGCTTGATAGAACAGTGCTGAAGTGGCTGAAAAAAGCTGTCGTTCAACGTTGTTCTTTCTTGCTTTTAGTGCTTATCACGGCCATTTGACCTCGATGATCGATATTTCGCCGTACAAGTTCAACAAACCGAACGGGCCTGGCAAGAAAGATTGGGTTCACGTGGTAAGAGACATCGATTCGAACAAATATTTTCATCCAAACCTCGATACCTAATCTATCTGATCCCATAAAACAGAGATCAGCAATTCTCACCCTTTGATTCGTAGTCAGTAACCTGTTTCAAGCATAATGCTATGCATAGTTGTCAATATTTTGACACTCCTTTGGTCAATAACTACGTTCTATCTAACTATCACGAAGTGTATCCGTTAGATTATATTACCACGCAAAAGTACACGTTTCAAGCAATAATTTCTTACCTTACGGTTGAAGTTGCGATGACGGATGCCATAGTAAACAGCAAGGTCACATTGAAACACATCTAGGTACCCCGAGTCACTACGTCCGGACACGACAGGGGTCAACACGTAACTGAGACGGAAATACGTGGACGAAAATCGACTACAAGCTTGTCCCGTGTTGTTTACCTTAGGTTCTAACTAACACGTCTCTCGCCCGTTGCACTCGTGTTCGACCCGATAGGTTTGCCGCTAGTCTCGCGCGAAACTCCAGACAAAAGGGTTAAAGCTATAACAAATCAATTAAAACAGTATGACCAATTGGATTAAAATTACGTGACATTTCTCATAAGCCGATTACTCTGGATCAAAACAAGCTACCCCTTTCAGTGAACGGATTGCGGATCTCTGACTTAAAATGGAAGAGGAATGTCCCAAAAAGTTCTAGATTGATCAAGCTTCCAAGGTTTCCTTTGAGCCTAACCTGACACTTTCTCTGCTTAATTTCCAGGCACCCTGCCCGGATGTTTACCGAGGGGTTTACAACGAAGTCGAGCACCCTGGCGAAGACCTTGGCGTGAAGTACGCGAACACGGTGAGGAACATTTGCCAGAATTTGAAGAACCAAGGCAAGGGTGTCTGCGCGTTCATCGCGGAGAGCTTGATGTCAGTCGGCGGTCAGATCCTGCCGCCGGAGAATTACTTCAGGAACGTGTATAAGTGCGTATACTTCCCTTCTATCCTCGAGTTTGACAGTGTATCGGTGACTTCTTCGAATATGGCGAATAATTACAGGCACGTGAGAGAAGCCGGAGGTGTCTGCATCGCGGACGAGGTTCAGGTTGGCTTTGGACGGGTTGGCAGTCACATGTGGGCCTTCCAGCTGTACGGCGAGGACGTGATTCCGGATATAGTGACCGTGGGGAAGCCCATGGGCAACGGGCACCCCGTGGCCGCTGTCATTACCACCCCCGCCATTGCTGGCAGCTTCAAAGACACTGGGATAGAGTACTTCAACACGGTAGGTGTGCAGAGTGATAGGTGAAACTTTCCAATTCCTTCTGCAAATAATTTCAAGGTTAAATGCCTCGTATAACATTCAGGACGTTGCCTGGGAATTTGGAAACATTTTAGGATACTTTTGCAAGAGAGATCGGTGTGAAAAATTGCTAGGCCTTCTTGCAGAGTGGGTGAAAAGTATTCAAAAGCTCGGAAAAGAAGCTTGACGGCTATTTCTCTTCATATAAGAAGAATATGACAGCTTCGAATATTTAAAAGCCACGATTACTATAAATATCGAATACATAAGAGTCTTTCAACTTTCAAATAGTTTATTATATAATTATAATAATTTGAAGCATTCGTATAATTCGTATTTAAAAGCTCGAGAAGCTCCTTCTCTTCACGAGAGAAGATCCTAAGAGAGCTTCGAATATTCAAAACACTCGACTACTATAAATATCGAAGACTTTCAATCTTCGAGTAATTTATTATAAAAACGAAAAAGAAATTTATCTATTGCTACCCTTTTACTCTCTGGGCCTCATGAAATGAAATTCAACTAGACTGTCGACTATCAAATAATTTATTACAACGCGAATCTCTTTTTATTATAGCGTGCCCTATTGACTTAACTAGCATTAGAAACAGTGCTAATTTAATCATAAATTTTCGCAGAAATGATCACGAAGCGCTTACCGATTCTTTTGTCCGTAGTACGGCGGAAATCCAGTGTCCTGCGCCATAGCGAACGCCGTGATGGAGGTGATCGAACGGGAGAACCTTCAGGAGAACGCGTGGAACGTTGGCAAGCACTTGATATCGGAGCTGAGGAAACTGGCGAAGCGACGAAAGATCATCGGTGACGTTCGTGGCGTGGGACTATTCGCTGGCATTGAACTCGTCCGTGACAGGGTGAAGAGGATCCCGGCGACAGCGGAGGCTAAGCACGTAGTGTCAAGGATGAAGGAGAAGAAGGTGTTGATCAGCAGCGACGGTCCGGATGACAACATCCTGAAGCTGAAACCACCGATGGTGTTCACGATAGAGAACGTGAATCACCTGGTCTCCACCCTGGACGAGGTCCTCGAGGAAGTGGACATCGATGTCGAAGAGGTGATTATTACTCAAGAACGTTACCGAGAGGTATCATCGAGGAAACGTAAGGAGAGAACGAACGGGGATCATTGATCGAGGATTTTTATGATAGAGGAAATGGTAGGGGTGGTTACGTCGAGAAGTTTACGAAACGGTGAACAGTTTTGGAAGATTTTCTTGTACCATGTTGACGCAGGATTGCGCGATTATGTCGCAACGCAACGAGAGAGTGTGAAAACTTCGCGAAGATCGAAAATCGAATGTCGTAACTTCTACGAGTGCAATTTGTTTTTCTGAATGGAGAGAAAGCGCTGACGTTGCAAGGAGATGGCGATAACGTGGCGAGATGAGCGCAGTTTCTCGATCAGCATTGAACACGTGTTCGAGTGACCACGCTCGTACCGTCAAATAAATTCGAAGTCATATTTTATCTCTTCTCTACGAAATTATCGTTTTACTAACATCTCGGTCGAAGAAGTTTGTCAAGTCTTTTAGCCTCTTAACTCTTTGCGGCACAGGATTTCGGATAGTAAAATAAACCCATGTTGCATAGAAATTTTATCGCGTTTTAAGTGAAACAAAATTGGTACAGGGCTAATTTTTATAAAAATCAACCCTTTGCACTCGGCGATTCTTTCGTTACAGAAAAATATTAATTCGAGGACTTTCTGTCATAAAGTTTAGGATATTTTTAAAACGGTAAATAAGAAATCGTATGCAAATTAAGACGTGGAATTATTTTATCGTTGAGTAATTTTAGATTTGATATATTAATTAACATCGATCTCTAGAATGTGATTAAATGGCGACTGAGAGGCGCCTCACGAGTGCAAAGGGTTAACTTTTAAGTCATAAAAGGGTTACTTTCACGATTTTTCACATAAAACCAGGAAAAAAAGATTGTCTAGCATACTGAATTTGACTTATAACATTTGTCGATGGTATTACCAACTGTTTTACGTAAATAACACGAAATATAAACCTATGCGTATGCACCTATTGCATGCGTATGCAGATATTGCATTAAAAATGTCCCATCATGCATTACGGCGCATCAAAATGGTGGGACACTTTTAATCCCAGCATGTTCGAAAGAGTTAATTTAATTATTTTATTGTTCCACGTATACCTCGTTAATCCAGGATAATTAATTAATTCGCATGGTTTCAGAAGTACAAGCCTGCGACCACCATTTTGAAGGCAACGATTTCCAAGATGGACGTCGAGACGGATAACGCGCGTCCAAACGGGAAGCCATTATTGGTCCACGCTAAGTAACGATTAATTTAACCTGAGCTTATACATATTTATAAAACGCGACGATTGTATGTCATATATTTAAAGTATTACTGTTCGTGAGATGAATGAATATTGTTAAACCTGTTGTGCATGTTACTGGAATGGAGAACAGTGTACGCCAATGTAAAAAGGATTGCAAGTGGGCAGAGAGAGATAAGACTAGGAATTAAGATTCAATTAACTATACGAATACGTCAACATCGTGGAATACGTTTTAATAAATTCTATTTTTACGTACTCACTTGTCCCCGTCATATTTTCCTCTCTGAAATTTTTCAATCGCAGACACGAAAAACGAAAAACAGTCGGACGAACCAGCTTAGGAACAATGATACAGTTTTAATAATTACTTCGTTTCTTGTTTGCTCCTCGATTCACAAGGCCCCCTCGATAACCTACGATTTTTTTATTTGTCATTCGGTTTAAGCTGTCGTCATAATAATATCGCGAAAACAACAATTGGAATTCGCCATTGGACAGACATTTTGAGATTTTCCGGTGTTTATGCCACAGCGAGATGACTATGGCGAGTGATGACGACAGTGGGACGTGACACAGGTTTCTTCTAGATCTCTCTAGGACGTAGCGGAAGCTTAGACTTCCTCGAATTACTATCGCTGTGACCCGTGACCCCACGTGTATCGATGTCTGCTCACACATTATAATTAATTCTAATACTTATGACGAATCTCCTTTCGATTACACGCACTCCCGAATATTTCGATGAGCAGAGTCTGAAATAACTTCGAGCAAGTCACCGATGCAGGTGTGCATTCGTGAATCCATTGGATTTATTTTCGTCAGACAACGCCTTTTCCATCCCTTAATATCTAAGAATCGATGGACACCTTAGGAAATCTCGAATTTTGCAAAAAAATGTAAGAAAATACCAAAAATAAAGTAAAATGAAACTGAGAATTGGAATCAAGCTATAGGGATGACACAAAGTGGATATATAACATAGAATTTTAATGACAGGTTGAAAAATTCACCAGGATATTTATAATTTTTCGGATTCGCGGATCATGGCCGAATCCAGGTTGTTATCTCTAAGAGATTGCTTCCGGATAAAAGAATATCGTTTATCGGATTTATTTTTCCGAAGACAATGGTACTGCACCGACGAAAACACGCAGGTCGCCGAATAGATAAATAATTTGACCTGATCGAAGAACCAACTGAGATCGTATAGAAGGAGATAGAGGAAGGAAAAAATCGTAGATAACGTATACATGGCCGGAGTTGAAGCAGCAAGTTCATGGATATGCTCCTTACCGCTGAGTTGGCATAAGTAAAGTATAAATTTGAAGGCTGCAAGACGCAGCGTCACTTTCTCGTTTGCTACAGGCATCAACATGTGGCTACCTCTGACACTCTTAGTGCTTGGTAAGTGAAAGTGGAAAATTTTGCTCGAACCACCCCTTTCAGATTCCTTCACCTTGTCACCCACCCTCCCATCTACGATATGCGAATAACAGAAGCAAGGTTGACAACATTTTGCTTCAAATTTGGTGTCAAATATGGAATAATTAATTTTCGAAGGATATTCTTATCGGAATCGGTCAAAAATCTCGTATCATTTATTTTTATCTTTTTATTTACCTCATTATTATTACCCCCCATTATTATAACCCCCTCTTATTACTATCCCCCCATTATTATTACCTTCCATTATTATTACCTCCATTATTATTACCCCCATTATTATTATCTTCCATTATTATTACCCCTCATTCTAATTACCCCCCATTATTATTACCCCCAATTATTATTTACCCCATTTTCTTTCATATTCGTGCCAAATTCGCGCACGATTCCGCGAAATAGCTTTAACCAGGAACACTCGACAGGAAGGACGAATTAATTTCGTGAACCTTGTCCACAGCGGGAACAGTTTCAGCCGACTTTGACCATGGCTGGAAGGTCGGCACAGAGTACACCTACCTGGTGCGAAGTCGCACATTGGCAAGTCTAGACGAGATATCGGACCAACACACAGGTATCCTGATGAAGGCCTTGCTCACGGTACAAGTGAAGGACTCGCAAACGCTGGCCGCCAAGGTGTCGAAAGGACAGTATGCCCGTGTCCACATGTCGTTACCTCTAGGCTGGGACACGAAAATCTCTGACCTAGACCTGGAGCTCCTCGACCTGCCAATCCGCGGCACGCCGTTCGAGATCAAGCTCAAGCACGGCGTGATCAGGGACATACTCGTGGATCGCGATCTCCCTACCTGGGAGGTGAACATACTGAAGAGTATCGTGAGCCAGTTGCAGGTAGACAGCCAGGGTGAGAACGTGATCAAGACCAAGGAAATACAGGTACCGACCGACAACGAGCCCTTTGGGTCGTACAAAGTGATGGAGGATTCCGTTGGTGGCAAGTGCGAGGTTCTCTACGACATGGCGCCATTGCCCGTTCACATGATCCACATAAAGCCGGAATTGGTACCTATGCCGGAAATGAAAGGCGACGGACAGCACATCGACATCACGAAGACCAAGAACTTTAACAGGTGTGACCAAAGGATGGCCTATCACTTCGGCCTCATTGAGAATCCGCATTGGCAGGATGGATCGGACACGAATGGGAAACTGATTTCGGTGAGTGTATGGGGATGTATGGGAAGAGATTCGACGATTTACTAGCGACTCATTGATACTGTGGGGGTCCTGTCCCACCATCACTTGACGTCGGTAATGGCAGGTATCCTCGGTGGTAGGTAGATAGAAGGGACGGTTGGAAAAGAAAGGGATGCGTTTCGTCCCGGGCCTGCTAGCGGACACATCAGTAAGGCTTGCTTAGCAGGCCCTGCCTTAGACACTGTGGATACTATTGGAAAGACGGGAAGTTATATATATAGGAAACTGGGTGTTTCCCGAGGACTTGCGCGAAAGTCCTTGAAGGCGGAATCCATCTAGTGGCAAGGGCGAGAACGATGGTCGCTACAATACTAAACAAGAGTCTTCGCTGTTACAGATGTTCTCCACGAGCAGAATCGTGATCTCAGGCAAACTGAAGCGTTTCACCATCCAATCCTCGTCGACTACCAGCAAGATGCACATCCGTCTGAAGCTGAACGACAAGCAGAAGGGAATAGTAGTTAGCAGAATGAACCTGACCCTAGGAACCATACAGAAAGTAACGAACCGTCTGCCCCCGGTGAATAATCCAGAGTCGACTGGCAACCTGGTGTACACCTACGACAACCCCTTCTCGAAGATGGAGGAACGCAGGGTCGGTAAGAACATCCCGAGTCTGGGCTCTAATGCTGTGACTTCGGACAGCGTTAGCTCTATCAGCTCGAGCGAAGAAGGCATGGGCAAGCTGAAGCAGAACCTTCGAGGAACCTCCAGTTCCAGCGAGTCTAGCAGCTCGATTTCCAGTAGCGAGGAGAACGATTTCTGGCAGCCCAAGCCCACCTTGCAGGATGCTCCTCGTATTCCTTTCTTGTCCGAATTCGTAGGCTCCAAAGGCAAAGTCATCGACGAATCTGTCAAAACCAAGGTCAAAGATCTCCTTTTCGAGGTCGCTTATGAGCTCGATGACCCGAGCAACATCCCTGACACCTACACCCTAGAGAAGCTCTCTATCGTGTGTAGCCTGCTTCGCACCATGAACAAGGATGAAATATTCGCGATCGACAACAAGCTGCGTTACTCCGACGAGCTGAAATCGGGCAGCAAGACACAGGTGATCAAGGAGAACGTTTGGTCCATGTTCAGAGACGCCATTACGCAAACTGGAACTGGTCCTGCTTTCTTGCTCATCAAGAACTGGATAGAGAAGGAAGATATCAAAGTAGTGGAAGCTTCGCAGATACTGATGAGGCTTCCCAAGACTGTTCTCATGCCAACTACCGAATACGTCAGAGCTTTCTTCGTGAGTACACTCGATGACGATTTCTCATTATCGATTTCTCGTTACATCGATGTACACTGACGCTTTTCGCGTTTGGAATTTTTCAGGAATTGGTGAAGAGCCCTAAAGTAATTAATAATCGAATCCTCCATTCAGTATCCATAGTGGCGTTCGGTGAGCTGCTTCACAACTCCCAAGTGAACAGCAAAACCATCCACAATCATTATCCTGTTCACACGTTCGGTCGCCCAGTGTCCAAGCACGATAAAACTCTTACTGACGAGTACATACCGTTCCTGGACAACGGGCTGAAGAACGCTGTGGAACAACGTAACAGCCCCAAGATTCAGTCTTACATCGCCGCTCTGGGCATGATCGGACACCCCAAGATCCTCTCGGTGTTCGAGCCCTATCTAGAAGGCAAACGTCCACTCACTACCTTCCAGAAGACGTTGATGGTAGCCAGTCTGGATAGACTGGCCGACACCAATACCAAATTGGCACGCTCGGTCCTGTACAAGATCTACCTGAACACCATGGAGAGCCACGAAGTTCGTTGCACCGCTGTCTTCTTGCTGATGAAGACCAACCCCCCGTTCAGCATGATGCAACGAATGGCAGAGTTTACCAACTACGACACCAATAAGCACGTGAACTCGGCCGTGAAGTCGACCCTGGAGGATCTAGCAAAGATGGAGAGCCCAGAATGGCAGGAACTAGCCAAGAAAGCTAGCATCGCGTTGAAACTGTTGACCACTCGTGACTACGGCTACCAATACTCTCACGGAATAATCACGGAGTTCATAGGCGATGAAAATAAATTATTCACTCAGCTAATCCTCAATTATATTGGCAGCGATGACACTATAATCCCTCGCGCGATATACCTGGCCACGTTCTCTTCCTTCTCAGACTTCAAGCTACCACCGAGCGAACTGGCGGCCATGATTTCCAGCGTGAGATCTCTCATGGACATCATCTGGAACTTAAATGACAAGAGCGAAAGGTCATCCGTGAAACTGGAGACAGAGAAGCTCGTGGAGGCATTGAACATCATACCCGGCGAGGCTATTCCTATGGAAGCGAACATGATGATAAACACGAAATTCGTATCGGCGATTTTGCCCTACGACGGAAACACTATTAAGAGAGCTTTTAGTCGTAAGTATAACTCGGTAGCTTTTAGAGAAATTCGATATAAAGTCAATGTTGTCTAAAAGCTGTCATGTATCGTTTAATGTTCTAGTGATAAAGGAGAAGTTAGCGATGCTGAATGAGAACACCAGGATCAACGAGCAGAAGTTTGCATCCTTCGACATGACACTTGGTCTTCCTACCGAAACCGGTCTGCCATTCGTCTACGACTTCAAAATACCAATTCTGTACAAAGTGAAGGGAATGCTGCAGGTTCAGCTAAACCCTGCCATGATGTACAGCGCAAAAACCGACCTCGATATCACCTGCTCGGCGATGATTCAGGGAAGAATCGGGTTCATCGCTCCGTTCGCAAAGGAAAACTTTATCGCTGGTATTGACACCATCTTCAACCTTGATCTTCCATTGAAACTGGACGTGGACGTGAACACGATGAAGCGTACCACGCAAGTGAAATTCTGGCCACCAGAGGAATATGACACAGGACGAACGTTACACTACAGCGTCGTTCCATACACTGCTGCTCATAACATTTTGAGTTTGCGACCCTTATTGTTGGAGAGTATAACGCAAAAGATGAAGAGTAAGGAAGCCGTTCAAATTAGACCCTCGGAAAGGGACAAGTTTGTGAATATGGAGCTCGAAGGTGACGAATCTGACGTCACAAAAGTATGGAACGCCGAACTGGGTGACATGTACAGCAAGGCCATGTCACCGTGGACCGCGGAAACCAACGGAGAGTTCAAGGCTAATATGTACATCAATCCTAAGAAGAGACAGATGAAACCAATAGTACTCACGTTGTCCTATGACAGTCTGAACATGGTACCCGATCCTAACGTCGAACAACAGTGGACCCCTGTACCTACAATCGTACAGCCCTCTAGCAAGGACAGCGAAAATCGCAGGAAGGAAATGTTGATGGAAGCCGGTAAAGGTATCAAATTGGCTAAATCGCATGTGGTAGATGTCCAACTGAAGGTTTCAGAGGAGTTTAATTCCGAACACATATTAACCGTCGCCTGGTCTAACAGCGACGTGGAGAATAAGGGACGACTGCTGACTTACGCGCGTATAGGCAACACCAACAAAAGCGACGTGCTCGAAGGTTGCTCCGCTTCTCAAGCTAGGCTCACGCCAGACAACATTCTCTTCAACGATGACATCTTCAAGATCAGACCCAAAGCAGAGTTTTCCGTCGAATTGCGTTACGGAAACTCCTGCGCTACCGGCAACAGGCTCAACGGTACAGGTCAAGTTACCCAAAGTAAGAAGCTGCAGAACCTGATCAAGAGTTCACCTTTAGCCATGGCGTGCAAGGAACAGATGAAACAGGGCAACAAGATTCTTCGAGCCTGTCAAAACGCCATCTTTGGCTCCCTGCTGTTTAACCGACTGAATATTACCCTAGACATCGAGTCGAAAGAAGACAGGGAGGCCATCAACTCGCTTCTCGAGGCTGGCAATAACATCATTGATTTGGACTCTGACGTGGACACTGTCAATCCCAAGAATGCTGGCAAGAACAGCATCGACATCAAGGGCAAACTGTCCGACGACTTTAAGAAGGTCAGTCTTCATATCCACGCACCTTCCATGGACATTCGTGTAGACGATGAGGACATCTCTGAGCTAGAAATCCTGCCTGGCAACATTTTGGGGTCTACCGACGACCAAGCAGACCTAGCGAGCTTGCTTTTCTCCGACGAACGCTGTAAGTATATCGCGAAGAAACCAGTCGTAGCTAAGATTCTTCCACTATGCCTAGTGTTTAGTAGCGTTTACTAGTCTTTCCCTCGACAACATGCCAACACAGGCATTGTCCTCGGGATGGCATTGGCCAATATCAATGTCATTCCGAAGATTAGCTTAAGGCCTGGCAGTTAGTTTACAAGCCAGTAGTTAGTTTCACTTCTTAATTTATTTTTATGACCACTTTCAGTCACCACGAATTTTCCTCGCGAGGGTGTTTCTCGCGTAAATGCCTTCCCGCGCAAGTATAGTTTTTGCCCGCGCGCGGTTTGGTGGGCTTTCTCCTGCCCTTCCCACACACTCGAGTCTTTAAAAATAGCCTTTAAAAAGCTCCTAGGACCGAGTCAATCTGACTTCGACCCTTTACACTGTGACTGCTGTCCTGACAGACCTGCTACGATACCTCCGACGAGTGCTATACCGCGAACCCTCGCGTCAATAAATAAATTCTTGCACGCGCAACAAACCGTATGCGTGTTCTCGAGCCAAGACGAAAACCAAGCTGATTTAACATCGTCTCCATTTCCCCAGCTTTGTGTATGCTGGATAAAACCAGGATCGAGACCTTCGACAGCAAGTCGTATCCCTTGAGACTAGGCAAGTGCTGGCACGTCGTGATGACAACGTATCCCAGGATGAACCCGGAGAAGCCAGACGAGAAACTGAGAATTCCCGAAGATAGCAGCGTGAGCATTCTCAGTCGGGAGACTGAGGACGGTCGCAAGGAAGTGAAGATTCTGCTCGGAAAAGATGAGATCGTACTCTTGCCTGGCCAGCCACTGCCAAAGGTTAAGGTGAACGGAATGGTGGCCGAGGTGACCACGGACATGAGCTACCAGCAGAAGGAGAAAGACGAGGTCATGTTCGAGATTTACAAAGTTGGAAGCAAAGCTATTGAGCTATCTTCCGACAAGTTTGACGTAAGCCTCGCCTTCGATGGAGAACGTATCCTAATCCAGGTAAGCAAAGATATACTCGCCTCTGTACAGGACCTCGAGTCTCTTACCTAACCTCTTCATCCGAGTAATCCTTATTAAGGATAATAACGAGTTAAAAATGTTTGACAGGCAACCGATGATTACCGCAGCTCCATCCGTGGTCTCTGCGGCAACTTCGACGGTGAAACCCTCAACGATTTCACAGGTCCTCAGAACTGCATATTCAAAAGTCCCGAGAAATTCACCGCCAGCTACGCCCTGACCAAGGACCAATGCGAAGGCCAGTCCCTGGAAATCGCGAAATCGTTTTCGAAGCATACCGACTGTATACCAATGGAGAAGACACGTCATAGCAACGTGATCAATGACATCGAGTCGGGCCGATCGACCACCGAGCTAGACAACTGGGGCTACCATTCGCAGCGAAAAGCCGGAGAGAAAAGTTGCATGAAGACCAGGACCGAGGTAAGAGAGATCAACGGCAAGATCTGCTTCTCCACGCGCCCAGTGGTATCCTGTACGCCTGGCTGCTCGGCCACCGAAACGAAATCAAAGGACTACCAGTTCCACTGCATGGAGGAGAATAATCGGTCACTGGACCTGAAGAGGAGGATCCAAAATGGTGCCAATCCAGACTTGTCGCAGAAATCTGTCGACATGTCGCATTCTATAGTGGTTCCTCTTGCTTGCACAGCCTAACTCAGGCGTGCACCAGTTCTTAGTGGCTATAGTAGTTTTGTATCTAGCGCGTGCCACGATATTTTAATAAAGCTCATCGTTTTCTATGCTAAAGCTTCTATATCCCTGCAATTTCCTTCCACTCGTTCACGAGATTTATCGTACTCACCTCTAAGTAGAAAGATGAGAATGTTCAACTGCAGAGCCGAATTACATGGAATACGAGGGATCGTGGATAGGGCATCTAAGACGAAGTTGCTTCAGGTGACAGTCCATTGCCTCGATCTTCTTGCAAAGATCCTCTTCCTTGGCGCAACAAGCCTCCTGTTCCAATTCTTTCCTCAGCCTACGAGTCTTCCTTCGTCCGCCATCTTGGTCCCTCGCGATATTCGACGACGATCTTTCGTATGCTTGGTCTATGGAAGCTTGCAGACGTATCCGATTTAACTTACGCTGATTCTTCTCATGATCCTCGAACGGCTCGCCTAAATTGGTCATTCATTAGAATATCGAACGGATCGTCAAGTTGGTTGAGTTACTTCTGAATATTGGCACGATTCCTGCTTCCAGACTCCTCTGAACCTCTCGAATTTCCCTTTCACATCTCTCGTAATACGTCCCACGTAAGATTAACGACGGTTTCTGGTCGATTTGACAGTCTCGACACTTCTCCTTAGACTTCGTTTTCCTCCTGCGCATGTAGCGTCTGTATTCCAAGCATTTCAGCATCTCCTCGATCAAAGTGAACTTGGTACTGTCGATCTTGGTGAGCACACCTGGCCGCTGCGCCGTTCTCAGCAAGTGGTGGAGCTGTAACGAAGGGAGCAAAATGACGACAGGGGTGGAACCTCGCAGTCGAGGCTTACCTTGAAGAGGACGAAGAGTATCCACTGCATCGATTCTTGCTCGATTATAGCTTGCACGACGTCTATCTCTTGCTGTCTGAACCTAATCGATCAAGTAGAGACGACAGAATGTGTCAATAATGCTTTTAATCTCTTGGCTACCGTGGGCGCCTCTAGATGCCTCTAGGTGCTTGGAAATTTTGTGTTTGTGACACTGAGAGTGCCTATAGGCGCTTAGAAATTTTGTGTTTGTGACACTGAGAGTGCCTATAGGCACTCGACGCAGTTTGGCTTTCTTTCACAAACATGCATCCCTATCCAAAAGTTCACCGTTCTCTGCGCACATCGTAATTCAATTCCTGTCATATGGTATGGCCGGTACGTGTCATAGTCTGCCATAGTCCAAGGGGTTAATTGCTTCGAATGATACTTAAGGATCTCGAGATCTTGAGACCTTCGCATAGTCTCGCGAAGGATCTCAAGTCGCAATCGTAGAAGGTATTGGAAAAATATGGAATTTCAGTGCAGTCAGTTTAAGAATTACAGGAAGCTAGCAAAGCTTTAGCAAAACTTTGTCAAATTGAAAAATACCAACTTCTTCATGCTCATCACCGTCTCTTCGTTCTTCGCGTACACCTGGTCCAACCATTGTCGCATTTTCCGAATGTCGAGGGCAGTTCTTCTGGTCCAGTAGCCACGCCACAACGCCTGGATCCTCGTGGCCATCTTGTCGTAATGATCCTGCCACATTTGATGGACACGTTCGATCAGACACCGATCAACGATCGTCCTGGTACGATAGCCACGCCAATGACGTTGAACGATGACAGCGCTCTCGTGCAGCAACCGGAAATGATTCCGAGTGAGGATGCCGCGGATCCAGGCCTACAGTGGCGAGCCGAATTTCCAATTGAAACGTTCTAATGTCAGGTGGACGATACTCTGATTGAATTTTAGTCAAACGAACGAAGCGATACACGTCCCCGAACCAGAAAATTAGCAGACACACCGCGATAAATTCTTTTTGCGAATTGCAAAATGGCGGAGTAGCAGTGAAATGCCAAGGAACGATGTCTCGTTTACATTGACACTTTATGACATATAAACTATGTTTAATTAAGAAAATTAATATAGGAAAATTCGTCGATATAAAAATAGAATTCACAAATTTTCTCTACCGTTCTTTCTCCCCTGGCTACATTCTTTTTGCGAATTGCAAAATGGCGGAGTAACAGTGAAATGCCAAGGGATGATGTCTCGTGTACACTGACACTCTATAGCATATAAACTATGTCTAATTAAGAAAATTAATCTAGGAAAATTCGTCGATATAAAAATAGAATTCGCAAATTTCTTTTACTATCGTTTCTTGCCTGGCTACATTCTTTTTGCGAATTGCAAAATGGAGGAGTAAGAGTAAAGTGCCAAGGGATGAAGTCTGGTGTACACTGACACTTTATGGCACATAAACTCTGTGTAGCTAAGAAAATTAATCAACTATCGTTTCTTCTCTGTCCACTCTGATTCAAAGATGGCGAATTATATATACAGTGGCTCACGAAAGTATTCGAACGCTATACATACTCCGAGGGAATACTCTAGCTAAAAAATTTCGATTTTAATGAAAGTATGCGTGTACTTAAAGCATAACGAGTCTCAGGTGGATCAATCTATCTTTGTTCACAGATATTCCTACTACTTCGTATAGGTGAAGTCATAATTCAAATCTACAATCTGATCTCTGCTCTCTTAAATTCAATTGTGCAATAATACGAGATAGATCTAAGCTTGTCAAATAAAAAATGCTTAATTTTTAGGGCTCTGTCACACCATAGTAAAAATTGCTGCCTATGATATCACGTTCAAGGAGCAAAAGAATCGTCAAGACTTCAATCCGTGATATTCCAATACCTCTGCAAATGCCATTTCCTGTCAATAAACAAATCACTCGGTGTGTTATTCGCTATGCTTTGCGTACACACGAACCTTCTCTAAATTCGGAATTTTTAGGTTAGAAAATTCCTTCGAAACGTTAGAACACATTCGTGGGCCACTGTATCTTCAGGTGAAGACCATACAGCTCCAACATAGGAGTTGCAATAACGAAAAAGCGAAAACAACAAGGGTTCGCGATGACTCGGATCGATGTGTCGCGATCTTGACCTTAAATAATCGATATCACGCCGAGCCGATAGTTACGACACCCAAGGCTTTATTATTAGCGTGCCTCGCGTTCAAGCTGGATAACAACGATAACTCGCGCAGAAGTTGCCGTTATCGAGCCCGGGGTTATCTTCTCGCGCGTTCTCCGGGACAGAGGACGGAGAAAAGAATCGACCGAACTTTTCTACGGGGCCCTGTACAGGTTACCCGAGACATGGATCGTTCACCTGTATCCTTCGTGCTGCGATGAAGTACAAATGTCTGGTTGCTTCCGCGGCGTGGTCCCAGCGTTCGATCTTCTCCTGGAAATCGACGAGGTCCACCCTAAACTCTGCCACGGACGCCATCGAGCAATTCTCCTTCGCGCGAGTGACTAAGTAATAAATAAAAATTCGTCGTTCCCCACAGATCTCATAGATCACCGTGTGAACGTTGCTCCGAATCCGTGATTATCGAACTCGTCACATATCCAACGAGTATCGAGTATTATCGAATCGTTCCGCGTCATCGCAATCGTTCCGCGCGAAATCGAATTGGCAGAGGTAGTTTCGATTATCGTACGAAGTTCGGATGACGATTCATCGATACTGCATCTACGTATGACCTCGCGAGTCTCAGTGCAATGTGAAAAACTTGAGAAATTATTGCTGTTGGCTGATAAGCAGGCTATCGTCTGTCAAGAAGGTGAGAAGACGAGTAACAACCGATAAATAGTTTATTCGCTTATATATTTCACATATCTGTGATTCTGGACAACAGTTTCGTCAGAGAGTTGCTCAGAGGATGCCTAGGTAGAGCAGAAACACGAAGAGGGTCGTGGAGAGGAACATGGTCGTCGCTGCCACCGCTGCCATCATGGCGTTCTTCCTTTTCCTGGATGTCCTCGTCAGCACGTGGAAGTCCTTCCGGGACTTGGTAAGAAAAAGAAAACGAGTGAAAAATATCGTACAACTACTCGGTGACTTCTATTGACCGATTGGCAATTCGTCCCTCGCCTAATTCCTTGTCATGACGATAATTGGCACGGTCAACGCTTGGAGGATTCTTTTCAGCGTATCGCGCGCGGTGTCAAAAGCTCTAGCTACGGCACTGATACGTACGTATCGTCAAAGTAAAAATGTGTCGAGCGAAACTGCACGTGTTTGCCGGTTTTCGCGTGGTTAATCGAGGCTGGATATCGAGGCAATTAATGGCATCGTCTCAGCGCGTGCAAATAAAAGAGCGTAATCTCGACACGCACTACCCTCGGCAAAATAAATGATTCGAACGTTGTGGTTGTACCCAGGAACGTGTGACGGGCTGCTATTGATCGGCAGCGTTTCAACGAGTATTTTTCATGCCGCCGATCTAATTACGTATCCTCGGTACCACGAATATGGGCCATCGAACCTAACACTGGAGTCTACCTTAAATTTCGCAATTTACCATTATTTGCAAGCTCTGAGTCTTCCGGACGAGTTCGTCGAGCCTCTGGCCCCTGTCAATCAGCTTCTGCACGCCTTCCATGAGAGCCCCGCGAATTTCTGCCAAATCACCCTCCAGTCTTGGTATTATTTCGCTCTCTTGTCGATTGTACTCGTCCTTGAAACAACGATCGTTAAATTCCACGTGAGGGACATCGGAGTTTGACAGGGGGAGGTCTTAGGTCAAAGGTCTTAGGCCCAACGTACGACTATCTTCTTCAGAGGTTTCGAGAGGTCGATGACTGCCAGATTGGTCAAATCGCTGGTGAGATCGGCCAGGATTGGCAGTTCCCTGTAAATGCTGCGCAGCCTTTCGAGGAACAGCTGAGAACAGGACTCCAACATGGCTGCCGACGAAGGGCAGTCCGGTTTCAACGTCAAACAGGCATAGTGCAGCTCGCCGATCAGCACGTGCACCGTGTATCTGCAGGACAATCGTATTTCCAAAGCAATTCCACGGAAATTGACACTTTCTTGGTGGACCGATAGCTTCACCCACGATGCTTAATCAATTACTCGGATTTTTCTCGGAAATATCGCTCGGCTATCCGAAATCGACGTGACTGACAAGGAGGGCATCTTTCTTACTTTTCAATCAACCTCTTTGTATTATTTATCGTATATTCCGTACAATTTTTATATTCTCGTAAAACCGCTATCACGTGATACGAAATTTTAACGAACACGAACGTGAACATGAACTTGTTAATTGGCGCGATAATGGCGAAAATAAACGCGAGAACAATGTGCAAACACTCTGTGTACCCACGGAGTTATCTGTCAGCTTTATGTTCGAAACTTCTTTGCATAAGACATGTCTATCGTTAGCAACAGTGGCGAATAACTAAATCGAGGATTGCGACAGTCGAACGACATTTCTCGAGCAACGAAATTCCACTCTCTGAAATTTTCTCTGCTTAAAATCGCAACTTTTAGCAGACAGCGATCGTCGCGATTGAAATTAGCGCGCTTACTTGCCCCTATCGAGGCTGATCTTATCGTTCTCCAGCGACTTGAGTCCGTCGACCGTGCTCAGTGCGATCGCCCTGTACGCTGGGTCCTGCTTGGTCGGGTAATCCGCCACGATCTTGCACCCGGATTTCTCCCAGAACGCCACCAACGCGTACTGCACCGTCTTGTTCATCTTCCACACTGGACACTGGTTCACCGGTGGAAACAGAGACACATCCGGGGGATTAGACGAAACGTGGTTCACCGCGACGCGACGTCCGACGCACGATTCATCCCTTCGCTTCCTTCAGCTGGGTCTCACTCAGCCTCCGCGGGTTCGAGACGGGTCCCTGGTGCCGTGGACGCTACCGAAAATCGTGGCCCGTCGACTTGGGCGAACGCAGACGGAGCACTCGCGACGTGGAACACGGTAGATCATTCGCGGACCGATCACTGGGACGTATCAGTTTCAGAGGCGGGCAGAGGAACGACAGGCAAACACGGTGCTCTTAGTTGGCTGTTTACCAGGCCCGGTCGGTGTATCAATGAGTAATGAAAGAAATTTCGATAATGCTCGATAACGCGACGACGTCTTTTGCGCGCAGCCTCAGGCAAAGACGCTCCTTCCCGTGGCCATGTTCCTCGCGATACGTACGCATTGTCTATCATGGCCCCGCGTTTTTCCACGAGAGCCATCTCGTCCGGCGATTAGATACGACAGTTCTAGCACGCCTACGATTCAGGCGACGTGCAAACGAGAATTGATCGTGCTCGATTCGCTTTTTCCTACGTGTGTTCCTGGGTAGCTCGCCTCGAATCTCTTGACAGACTTTAGAGTCTTTGGGTGTAACCGTTGGTTCATTCTTGGTTAATCGTTGGTTAATCGTTGATACATCGTTGGTTAATAGTTGGTAAATAATTGATCGTGCTCGCTTCCTCTTTTCCTTCGCCTCTTCCTGGGTAGCTCGCCTGGACTCTCTTGACAGACTTTAGAGTCTTTGGGTGTAACTGTTGGTTAATTGCTGGTTAATAGTTGGTAAATCGTTGGTAAATCGTTGGTAAATCGTTGTTAAATAATTGATCGTGCTCGCTTCGCCTTTTCCCTCGCCTCTTCCTGGGTAGCTCGCCTGGACTCTCTTGACAGACTTTAGAGTCTTTGGGTGTAACCGTTGGTTAATTGTTGGTTGATCGTTGATTTATCGTTGGCAAATTGTCGGTTAATAGTTGGTAAATCGTTGATAAATCATTGGTTAATCGTCGGTTAATGATATGATTCTGCGTTGGAATTGACAGCGAATGGACCCTCGATTCTGGCTCTCGCGTCTGTCCACGGTCCACCTTCTTTGGATATGATGGATCGGGGTTAGGAATAGACCTGTTTGCCTACGGAGAATTCTCTGTCGAGGAATTACGAGAGGGACTACTTGACAGCGAGTAGCCAAGAGTAGATAACGAGCCCCGAGTTGCACCTTGAAAGGCTAGTAGGTAGATTCGCGACGACGAGTGGTAAGTACAGTTGCAGAAATCGTGATACAAACGATTAGTTTACGCGGAACGTGGAACGAAAGGCTGATAAATCTCGCGCGACTCGAGAAATTGACAGCGATGGAAGGCATTATCTAGCTTGTTTGCCAGTCGTTCGCTAGAACGTACTGTTAGTGGAACCGAGGCTACTACAGAGATATCGGCGTATCTTCAGACTGATCGGGGATCGTTAATCTGGCTGACAGATCGCGTTAATCGTGGCCGATAATGGATCCCAGAATACACTTGAACGTTTCCGTTGATTAAATATTTGACATAGATACGCGGTTCCAGCATGGATCTCGTCTCGCGTTTCTTTGTAGCTACGATCGAAAGGAGCAATGGCTAATCGTAGCCATTAGACATCAGCCACTCGTCGATGCTCCGCGTGTTCGCATCCAACCAGTCCATGCTGTTTTCGATTTCCTCTATGGCATTACTCTTCGCGTTCTCGGTTAACCTCAGCTCCGGTTCTTTCAGGAAAAATTGCCTGGCCTGTGGAAGGGATATTTCACGTACAATTCGAGTATGTTCAGGTTTCATTCGGATTTAAGGTTAGAAGTAAATAAATTCTTCGAAATAAATTGGAACAACTGGTCTTGGGAATCTTTAGTTTGACAGTTGTTGGCAGAATGTAGCTGGTTTTGGTAGAAATAAAGAGAAGGGAGTAAATGAAAGTTACTAATAGGTTGTTCCAGTTAATTTTACAGATCAGACGTTACCTCTTGAAGTTTCTGACGATCTTTGAACAAGCACACGATCGAGCAGACGATTTTCCCCAATACGTACTGGTTCGACTCGTACATCACGAGTAGAGCCCTCCACCTAGATCTACGAGGAGAACGTTACGATGTTCTAGATCGTGAAAATTGTACGGAGGTTGTCTAGTATCTGAAGGAACATCGGTACCGCACGAAATTCCAGGCGACGTCTAATCCCACGGGATTCATGGCGATCTTGATCAACAGCTCCGCGAAGTCTTGCTTGCGAATGAACGTCTCGTCTGTTGCACGCTCGAGATACCTGAGAAGACGTCGTAGAAATTTACAGAGCGACGCGACTTTTCATATGCAACGTCTTGCTACGTTCTGTCGCTTTTGATCCGGCAGCCGTGAAATTCGAGGATTCGTTAGATTTCGCGATCTTGGAAATTGGTATTCAAGAAACGCGAGAATTCTGAATATGGCAACTCGGAAATTCGGGAATTCCGGAAACCGAGTACCTTTTTATTGGGTTATTTTTAAAATCGGTAATTCGGAAGATCTAGAGATCGGAGTGCTACTATATTTGACAATGTTGAAAATTAAAAAATTCTTTTGTCGGAAATTAGAACGTCGCGTATTCGGTATTAAGAATTCCGTAATTCATGGGACTCGTGGACTTAAATTCCGGATTCCGAGTACTTTTACATTGAATTATTTTTAAAATTGGTAATTCGGATGGTTTAAAAATTATTATTATATTTGACAATTTGAGGAATTAAAAAGTTCTTTTATCGAAAATTAGAGAGCCGTCGTATTCGGTATCAAAAATTCCGTAATTCGCGAGATTCGTGGACTCGAATTTCGGATCCCAAGTACCTCTGTATTGGATCATTTGTCAAATTCGTAATTCGGATAGTCTAAAGATCGGGGACTTATTATATTTGACAATTTGAGGAATTAAAACATTCTTTTATCGAAAATTAGAGAGCCGTCGTATTCGGTATTGAGAATTCCATAATTCGCGAGATTCGTGGACCCGAATTCCATTATTCTGTACCTTTTTATTGGGTTATTTTTAAAATCGGTAATTCGGAAGATCTAGAGATCGGAGTGCTACTATATTTGACAATGTTGAAAATTAAAAAATTCTTTTGTCGGAAATTAGAACGTCGCGTATTCGGTATTAAGAATTCCGTAATTCATGGGACTCGTGGACTTAAATTCCGGATTCCGAGTACTTTTACATTGAATTATTTTTAAAATTGGTAATTCGGATGGTTTAAAAATTATTATTATATTTGACAATTTGAGGAATTAAAAAGTTCTTTTATCGAAAATTAGAGAGCCGTCGTATTCGGTATCAAAAATTCCGTAATTCGCGAGATTCGTGGACTCGAATTTCGGATCCCAAGTACCTCTGTATTGGATCATTTGTCAAATTCGTAATTCGGATAGTCTAAAGATCGGGGACTTATTATATTTGACAATTTGAGGAATTAAAACATTCTTTTATCGAAAATTAGAGAGCCGTCGTATTCGGTATTGAGAATTCCATAATTCGCGAGATTCGTGGACCCGAATTCCATTATTCGCGAGACTCGTGGACTCGAAGTCCGTAATTCGTGAGACTCGTCGATTCGAATTCCTTAATTCGCAAATTCTTGGACTCGAATTCCGTAATTCACGAGACTCGTGCACTCGAATTCCGTAATTCGCGAGACTCGTAGCCTCGAATTCCGTAATTCGCGAGACTCATAGACTCGAATTCCGGAAATCGAGTACCTCCGTATTGGATCATTTTTAAAATCGGTAATTTGGAAAATCTAAAGATCGGAGAGTTTCTATGTTTAACAATTCGGAGAATTAAAAAATTCTTTTATCGGAAATTATAGAGCCATCGTATTCGGTATTAAGAATTCCGCAATTTGCGAGACTCGTGGACTCGAAGTCCGTAATTCGTGAGACTCGTCGATTCGAATTCCTTAATTCGCAAATTCTTGGACTCGAATTCCGTAATTCACGAGACTCGTGCACTCGAATTCCGTAATTCGCGAGACTCGTAGCCTCGAATTCCGTAATTCGCGAGACTCATAGACTCGAATTCCGGAAATCGAGTACCTCCGTATTGGATCATTTTTAAAATCGGTAATTTGGAAAATCTAAAGATCGGAGAGTTTCTATGTTTAACAATTCGGAGAATTAAAAAATTCTTTTATCGGAAATTATAGAGCCATCGTATTCGGTATTAAGAATTCCGCAATTTGCGAGACTCGTGGACTCGAATTCCGCCCTCCTCGGCCACGCAAGCTCAATTCCGTCGCGTCTATATTTCACATTCGCCTATAAATTTATATTCCCCCGTCGAGGAACGCCATAAATCCGACGCGACTTCGACAAATTGGACAGCGACACGCGAGAAGATAACAGAGAGCTCTGAGCGGCGAAGGAGCGCGTTGTTGGCAATTAGCTGGCGAATGAATCGCGGGCTGACGAACCGATTAAGAATATCTTTGTCCGGAACTCCAGTCATCCCAAGCATCAGACGTTCCCTTTCCTCAGCGTCGTCCTGCATCTCGAGAAGTCGCGACATTTTCTCGAACATCGATCCGACGTCGTCCGAGAGCGTAACGAGGCCTATCAGACGTTATCGTGGTGAATAACAAAAGGCACTCGCGGATGAAAAATATTTACTAACGTATCTACCCTCACCGAACGAGTATACGATAGACCGAATATCAGCTGACGACGTCTCTTCGCTGTCATCCAGCAGCAACTTCCTCAGCCTCCTTCCGGCTGACTCTAGGCAATGTGGATGGCCCACGCTGCAAGCTGCTGTCAATATCAATACGCGAAATTCTCTTGAAACAAACGGAAACCAGACTTTTCTTAATGGATGCTTGCTTATCATAAAAATATCCACGATGAAGGAAGAGGAGGTAAAAGTATAAGGAAACGATGAATTTCCAAGTCTACACTGTCAAATGACACGAAGATGTGGAAGATTTACAGATAGCTGATAGAAATAGACAGGATAAGAGACTAACCTGTCTCTGAACGAATCTTTCTCATAAATCCGCCATCCGACCTGACGATAGACGCTGTTCACCAGATTCCTCGCGTACGACTAAGGGTTCAAGATAGAAAAGTACAAGGAAGAACTGTCACAGGGTCTAGTTCTGTCATAGTTACTTGGAAACGCGGGAGGACGATGGTTCCCTCGAGCAGTCTGTTCATCTGACCGAACCATTCCATGGCAACGACCCATGGCTGATAAGCGTCTTCGTTCATCAGATACGAAGTTAGGTTCATCACTATAGAGTAGTCCAAGTGAGTTTCCGCTAGGAGAAAAGCGTCGTGCAACAAGTCTGCCCTATTCATGGCGCTCAGAGCCTGCGATCGTTGGAAAAGTGGAAACCATTAGACAATGATTACCAGATTTACAGGGTAATATCGTGTAACCACGAATTGTACCAAATGATCGTGGAAGAGTAATCTGCCAAAGGTGTCCCAGGCGTCTTCCGTGTAATTAACGATGTAATAGCCGATCGAGTCGTGGTTCAGTTTCATCCAGTCCACCGACTTTTCCAGCGACAATTCCACTGCAATTCGCGGTTTATGTGAGAAAGTTACGGATGGTAATTTCTTACGACTGCCATTATTACCGCAGGAGAAGTTCGCGAGGAACCAATCCAACTTGATGCCATCTTTCCTGCTCGTTTCGTACCTAATGGGAATAGTCCAGCTTCCGTCGCTGTAAAACGAAATGACATCCGTCACAGCTGTCATATCTCGTACTTCTCGTTTATAACGTTTCTTATTTTTCCCAAGTCCCTCCATTTCTATTTTTCCCCTCCTTTTTCCCTCTCCCTTTCTTCCCAGGACTCCGCTGTCAATACGTACTCGATCGTTTCGCGGAATCGCCTGCTCGTCGCGAAGCGTCGTCGCGATAGCTGAAAGCCCGCATTGTCTCGGCGAACGTTGATCACCGGAAATCCGGGGAACCTCAGCCATCGATCGACGAAATCGGCCACATCGACGGCGGCCATTGTAGAGTTGCCAAAGATATCGAACAGGTCGCGAGACTCCGCGTTACGGAACTGGTACTTCCGCAGATATTTTCTCACAGCAGAAATAAACTTGGAATTGCCAACCGCGTCCTCGAGCATCCTAATCACCGCTGCTGCCTGTCATTCCAATGTCCGACCAATTACTGTATTTTCTCTCTCATTCTCTCCCTCCTTATTTCCCCGATGCCATTCTCTCGCATTAATTCCCTTGTCAAACGTAATCTCGCGAATCGATACACTCGAGACATCCACGAAACATTCTCACCAGCCTACCTTCTGATAGGAAATTCGATCGAACGTTTCCTCTATCTCGTTCGGATCCTCGATCCGTCTCACGATAGCGCGAGCACGCAGCTTGATATCGGCTTTCATGGAAACGTACTTAGTGTACAACGGAAAGGAATCCATCTGTTGCGGGGAAGAGAAGGGAAAGTGAGGGGAGAAGTTACGGGAGTCGAAGTTATTTTAATACGGAATGATCGATTTGCAGGTTGCAAAGTGAATGACCAGATGCCAGTCCGGGAACAACGAGTCGACTGCCACGTGCTCCATGTAGGTGGCGAAGCCTTCGTTCAGCCAGAGGTCGTCCCACCATTTCATGGTGACCAGATTGCCGAACCACATGTGCGCCAGTTCATGGGCGACTGTCAAGCTGACACTTTTCATGTTCACACAGGAACTGTTCTCGCTGTGAAGCAGCTCTGTCTCGCGGAATGCGACCAGGCCCCAGTTCTCCATGGCACCAGCCGAGAAATCAGGTATGGCGACCAGATCTGACACGCGTAACAGACTTCACGATCAAGTTTACCTATTGACTGTCACGAAATCACGTGTCTCACTCGGGACGCCACGGGAATTTTTATTATTCGAAGCATGTAATGTCAAAGTTATAATAAATTAGAAATACAAGACAACATTCTTACTCGATGGAGCATTTATCCTATTGGCTGTCATGAGTGACTATCGGTTGACAACTGACTGTCAATTTCCATTCAATCTTTGCAACTGTAACTAATTCAAGAGCCCCGGTCACCAATGACCACCGTGGCGTCACAGAAGAAACCGTGACCGGTCATATATGACCAAATATTGGCAGTCAAAGTGTCAAACCAAGACGCGAGACTCATTTTCCATTTGAATCTTTGCTTACCCAGTTTCGGTAGTGGATAATCGATCTGAAACTTTTCCAGGTAGTGCCTCATTATCCTAACCGTGATGTTCAAGGCGAACGTCACTTTGGGCTTGAACGCGCCTCGCGCGCAGACAGCAATTGGCACTTTACTGCCGTTCAGAAGATCCACGCTGGATCCTAGGCATTCGAAGTCGCTGACGAGGAAGGCAACCAGATAGGTGGACATCGGAGGTGATGGATCAAAGTACGCGATCGCCTTCTCCCAATCTTCTTTCACGTTTTCCACCTTCTATGAAGAATATCTGTGAATTTGTAATGCTTTTCCACTCGCCGCTGTCAACTTACCGCTATCGGCATATTTGACTGAGCATGATAGAGGAAATTTCTCGGATAGAGAAGATGAATCTCGAAAATGGACTTAAAGCTCGGTTCATCGAAACAGGGGAACGCTGTTCTGGCGTAGAATGGCTCGAACTGTGACACTGCCAATTTCCTGCATAGGGAGACTATTAATTGATCTTATAATTCAATAAATTACACCTGATAGAATGCTCACCTGACAGATCGATTATTGTCAGTATACGTGCTCAGGTAGAATCCACTCATTTTCCCCTTTAAGCTTCCACTGAAGTTCATTTTGAGAAAATACTGTCCCACAGAGATGTTTCTATATGTTTTGATAACCAACATCTCGCGTTTGCTTACGTAAAAGGTGGACAGTATTCGAACCTCCGTCTGTGATTTTTTCGCAAACAATTTGGTCGAAGTCACGGTTAGGTCCTTCGAGTGAAGAGCGATGTAGCTTCGATCCTGCGAAGGATTTTCGAGTTAGGATATTTCGTGAGGCAGCTCGCGAGGCGGATTACACTTTCGTAACTAACTTTCAGTAATTCGAGGTCGATACGAACGCTGCCGTGGAAGTCATCTTTCCTGAAATCCGGTGAAATCGCTATCACGTATTTCCTGGGAACCACGTCTTCCGGGAGGCGTTTCTCCATCTCCATGGACTCGTTGTAACGTGGACTTAAATTATCTGGGGAAACCTTGCCGTTGATCGCACGAGAATCTTTCGTCTTCATTAAGACTATTGTAATTAAGATAAATCGCCAGCCGGTCATTTTGCTCGCGGAACAAGGATTCCTTGTTCCAGACACCGTTCTCCTTATCTTGTCAGGCCACAGAGCTTAAGTTGAAAAACGAGTCTTTTTGTATATCCAAGTTTAGTAGATGCCAACCTCTCGACCTGCCCTCCGTGAAGGGAGGCTTAATTAAAAATCTTGAATATTTGTTTAATTAAGGAAAACTAGAAAAAGTGGCACAGCCATTTATAACCATAGAGATTGGTTAGGTGCTCTCGCGATGGAAAGGAAACCCTGCTCACTTCGCTTCGATTCACGTGCGTTACTTCATCGCGTGAGAAAAATAAAAATGTGACGCAATTACATTACACATAAATTGCACAAATTTGTGGAAATATAGATTTTAAAAAAATATTTTTTAATTCGGATACAGAGGCGTCCATCACATTGGTTACGATCCACGTTGGAACAATCGGTGCCTTTCTGAACTGTACTATGAAGTGAAAGTACCCAGAAGAGTGGTCATAAGTTCACTCCGAGGCAGTGACCAATCAGAGCATTTGCGGTACTTTGCAGAAAGAGAAAATGTGTCAGAGAGGAGAAGGACGAGAGAAGACCGGTCTCTGGAGAGGGAAATATATAATTCTTACATAGACTTGAGAGCCAGTTAATCTTCAGTGAATTACCGTACGTTGCACTTGTGTATCCGTAAGTGTCTATTTCGTTTATTCTAGAAGCTGTCAACCACTGTCAACAAACAAAAATCATCATAATTAATTCCATTCTAAGCAGACAATTAATTCGGTAATTACCAATATAAAGTGAAATCGAGTATTTTGGAACGGTGTATTAAAAATTATTATACTTCGCAGATCAGGAACAATGGCTACGTATAAATTGGTATATTTCAACGTAATGGGACTCGGAGAGCCCATCAGGTTTCTTCTCAGTTACGGAGGCGTCGCATTCGAAGACATTCGCGTGCAGCACTCATCCGAGGAATGGACCAGCATGAAACCAAGTAGCACACATATTTTTCGCTTAATTTCCATCGAAGCTGGACAATTTGGAGCTACATTTGTATGTTTTTCCAGCGACTCCGTTCGGTCAGCTACCCACGTTGGAAATCAACGGCAAAGTTTACTCGCAAACGTTACCTATTTGCCGTTACCTGGCCAAACAGTTTAATTTGCTCGGCAAAACCGATTTGGATACGTTACAGATCGACGCGATCGCGAGCGCCCTTCACGATTTCAGATGGCGTAAATATTGATTTCGTTCCCGTGCAAATTGATTCCTTTCGGAACGATGCGCTGTCGCGAATAACGTCCAATCTCGTTACATGATCGATAAGTTTCCTTTTTCTTTCCAGTGACAATAACGTCTTATTATAGAGAATCCGATCCGGTCTTGAAAGCCAAGAAAAAAGTTGACGTAATGACAAGAGTGATACCGTTCTATTTGAATAAATTGGAGGAACTGACGAAGAGCAATGGCGGATATTTGCATGGCGGGCAGGTAAGGAATTTACGATAAATTTCGAAAGAATCCTAGATTAATCGTTTTCTGTATTCTCCAGTTGAGTTACGCCGATCTGTTCTTCGTCGGGATCTCGGATTCGTTAACTACGGCTTACGAGTCGGATATCACGAAGGACAAACCGCATCTGAGATCCCTGAAGGAAAAGGTGTTGGAAATTCCGAATATCAAAGCGTGGATAGAAAAAAGACCAAAATTGGAATTTTAATAATCGACATGTATGCTTAATGTTCGTTATATAAATATATTAAGATTAAAATTCAAACATCAGAGTTGCGTTTCAATTATCGCGTCAGATAGCAGTTTGAATTTGGCGGCGTTGGCTACGGTATACTGACTTACCAGCTGCTGTTTAAAACACGATCGAATGTTTCGTTGAAAACACTCGTCGAAGTAAACGGATAGAATGGATTTAATGTGCATTTAAAATGCAAATAGAACGAGTATTGTAATCAATAACCACTTCCAAATTTGGAAACGTGGAAAGTTGTCATCTCGAAAGACTAACAAGTGGCCTAGTAACCCAGTTGAAGGAATCGATCGATGCACCCGTTTCACGATTTTCTTCCGGATGTTAGGAGTGTTTTCGGAGAGAGAAAATCGGATGGATGGATTAGGTAGTTTGGAAAAAGGTAGAATTTTAATTCGTTTAGGTTGAAGATCGTCGATTGACCAGAGCGGTCAGTGGCGCCTCCACTCGGTGAACGGGTGGCGGCAGCTGGTGGCGGCGTGGCCAATGAGCGCTCTCGAATGATCGCTGCGCGTGGAGGGCTGCGCGATCGTCTCCTAGCCGCGGAGCCGTCAGTGTGCGCGCCGCGGAGAGCCAGATAGACAGACATCTTGTAGTAGAATTTAGCGGCGTGGTGTTTTCGACCGTGGGTGTCGGTGTCACGATTTCGTGTCGCGGTGCTCGTCATTACGGTGTCGTCGCCGTCGCCGTGGTCGTCGTGGTCGTGGTCGCCGTCGTCATCGTCATCGTCCACTTGGCCGTGGTCGTCGCCGCCGTCGTTGTCGTGGTCGTTCTCCCTGTGTTCACGCCGCAATCGTTGTCGTTGTCCTCCGCCTCGTCGTCGTGATCGCTGTCGTTAATAGTCGTTGTCTCACGGCTGTCGTTCACCGAAGGCTCTGTCGCGTTGCTCGCGTAGTGGTACCGCGGTTGCGAGACCCCGTCGTGCGGGCCGTGCAGCTCGCGTGGTCCAGCGATCCAGTTACTCGCCCCGCAAAAGGCGTTGGTGGTACCTTTTGTCGGGCAGAGGGAGAGAGGAAGAGAGCAAAAGAGAGGGAGCGAGAAAGACGAGAAGAGTCATACCGTCGGTCGGTCGGTGTAGTAAATATACGGGGAGTGAGAGGAACACGGCAGAATAATTTCTCACTCTGCAAACGCCCAATGAACAACGCTCCGGAGCCACCGATGTGCCGCACCGTGCGATAACTTCCGTCACCTCTCCGACCCCCGTCTCCTCCCTCCCCTACTCCGTGCGTGTGTATGTGTGTGTGCCGCGCCGGGCTCTCGAGGTGAAAATACCGCCCTCTCCTTCCACCCAACCCCCCGTTCGAGAGGAAGGTGCTACCTCGCGCGAGTAACTACGGCTAGAGAAAGAAGAAAAAAACAGTGACAGAGTGACACGGTGAGAGAGTGGGAGAGAGACGATCCTGTGTGACCGGGGAAGAGGAAGAGTGAAATAGAGAAGAGCGAGGAGAGAAAGAGAGCGAGAGGCCGGCGCCCACCCGTCAACCATCCTGATACAGCATGACCTCGAACAACTCGCAGAAGCTCTCCACGACGGAACGAGTGGTCAAAGGTAAGCGACACGCGACATTTTCTACTAATCGCGCTCGCCATTGGTGGTATCGGTGTCGGCGGTGTATGGTGCCACCTTGCTTTCCTACGTGCGTGCCAGCGTACGCGCGATCTTAACTTGCGTGTGTATACGTGTGCGTGGCCCTGTGGCCTCGTCTTTTCCGGCTACCTCGGTCGGTACGTCAGAGCCTACTCTTGTATTTCTCCGCTCGTGTTCCTTTTTCTCCCTATCGTATTACAGCTACCAACGATTCTTATCTACGCCGCTACGATTACCCGAATCCTTCCAACGAAACGCCGCATCGTGGCGTTTCGAAAACCAACGGGGAATAAGTAGGCACGTCAAAACACGTCGCGTGCCGTACAGGATTGATTTTCTTCCTAGCTTCGCGGCGCCATTGCTATCGACCTGCCAGAGCATTCTCATTGACCCTTCGAATCACGCTTTTCCAACCTGGCGTTCCGTCTACGCTCCCTCGTATACGCGGAATTTCACGAATAGATCGGAAACTAGAATTCCGTCCCATTGCCACCCACCGTGCTCCGTTATAGCTCCTCTCTCGCTTGTCCCTCGCGCGGTGCAACCTAACCTAATTCGCGTTTTGCCCATCAACCCCGCCTCCCCCGCCATCTTCTTGTCTGCAGAGTCGTGCGGCTCGCGCGGTTAGCCTCGTTTCCACGAGGTCGAGGAACGGAATCGTCTCGAGGACGCGGCACGCCGCTCTCGAGGATTTCGCGTCTGGACGTCGTCGTTCGAACAGCTGACCGGCTCGCGTGTACGTGCGCTAATGCGTATCCGATGTAAATACGCGTTTCGTGGCCATTCCGGCCAGCCATTGGCGTCCACGCATTTTTCACCGCGCTGTCAAAACTCACCAATTTTTCTACTCCCTCTCTCTCTCTCTACACGTATATATACTTAATGTATTTCTCTTTCTCCGATACAGGGCAGATATATTTTCGGTCCTTCGCTTTCCTCCGTGCATTCTTACCTCGCGTCGATGCATTTCCCTCGCAACCTGGTTTTTCCTCCGCGGAATAATTAATATCCCGGTTGGTACTAAACCAGTAAACGCAAAAAATGCGGTCAAACGTTTGCGCTACGAAACTCGTCGATACGTTCTCGTTAAGCAGATCTCTGCAATGACCTATATTCGCGAAACGAGATTGATATTCCGCGATTATTCGCGGACCCACGATTCTTTCTCGTTCCTTTCGGCATTACCGGTCGTTCACCCACCGCCGGTCATCGGGTTTATGTTTATGCACCCTCCCTTTTAACCGCAGTGCGTACTGCACGCACAATGGCCGCTGTTGGCCACAGTGTCGTTTCCATTCTTCGCTCCGGGCACGCGTCGAACCACTGTCCGCGGTTCGCCGATACAAGCATGCCCTTTTCAGCCGTGCAAGCGTGCTGACCCACATTGCTGCCAAAAAGGGGAAGTGGTTCAGGACGTACAGGTGGCACTTCAAGTCATCGACCTTTATTGCGTGGCGCCCTCCGCGTGTTTTTCTTTCCCCTTCCGGATCCCGGGCTCCTTTTTTCCCCCATTCCCCTTCGCCCTTCTCACTTCTTCCCAACAATCGGAGCATTGTTCCTTCGGTCAACGCTTTTCCTTCGTCTCTCGTTTTCCGCGCTGACAATAACACTCTTATAGATTATTTTCAATCGCCTACTGCATTATCGCTTTCGTTAACTCTCCGTGGACCCTCCAATCGTGGACTAATATATCGATATTTTATTAAATAATTGTACTTTTTTCCACAAGATGGCGTATACGGCACGCAAGTGCAACCGTTGTAAGCCCGTTACTTCAAAGTTACGATACGTATTCTTTATAAGAAAATCGTGCAAATTGCTGAATTGTTAATCTGTATTTACAGATTGGTATTTCTGAATCATGCGTTGCACAAATTATGTTCGTGTAATAAACCGTAGCCTTGCAAAGATCGTGTCAGGTATGTTGCAGGTTAATAGTGACCCAATTGGGCGACCTTCAAGAGGTCGTGTTTCGGGTTTTCTTTTATAAGGACCCTCTGTTTCTTGGAAACACTTTTAAACGGGGTACAGTACAGAGGGCGTTATTGTAACTCACAAGGACACGTGCATAAGCGTATTTATATCTTTCACTAATAATAAACGTTATATATTCGTCGCTGTACAATTGTACACGGACAGCTGCCATTTTAATAATCGCTGCAATTTCGTTCGAGAAATTACAACATTTTTATCGCCAAAAATATTCGATCCTTGTAGGATTATCGCGTGACTGTGCAGAAACGAAACACAATGAATCATTGCACGTATATTATAGATCGTTTCGCTTTTCACCTTCGATAGGGATCGGTGGATCACGATCGAGATCGTGATAATGGACGCTTATCGTCGTTCGATATTTTGAACTTTCCAAAATACGTTGTCCCACTTTTACCTATCGCGTTCGCATTTTTCTTATCTTTTCTTTTTTCTTTTTTCCCGCTTTTCCCTCCTGACCCGATTTCACGTTGCTCGTGACCGACATCGCGTTCGACAGTGAGCGCCAACGGACTCGACACGCAACTCGCGTCGCAGAAATCCGCGAACGACTCGTACAACATGCCGACTTTGCGAAAGATCTATTTAACGTATCGATTTCACTGTACACGCGTGGAATTGACAAGCAGCGAGCCGCGTAAGATGAAATGGCGCAAAAATAGACGTGGCCGCGGTCACGCGTGCGACCGCGAACTATCAACCACCGAATATAACTCATTGTCGTGACGGGAATATCGTAATTTGGAGCATCTCCAAGCCCCGCCGACGATTAACGATTTTTAACCGGCCTTTTCACAATTCGTCCGCGTAATTCATCCGCCATTGCGTGCACGACGCTTGCATCTGTCTGTCGCTCGGTGCGCCCGACTTTTCGCTTTGCTTAACGAGCTCCGTGTCGTCGGCGTCAGCCTAATTATCGCGAATTTTCCTCCACATCATCGGCTGCTTCTCGATAGTCCAATATGTCCTCGTTTTATGCATCTTAATTGCGTTTTAACGCGTTATTTTGCAGCGTTGGGTTCACCCTTTCAGCCATTTTCATTGCGGCCTTTAGAGCTAACCTAAAATGGCGGCGCGTGTAAATTAATATACAACCGTATTACATTTCGATATTTTATGGATTTTTATAGTTCAAAGAAGAAAATTTCTTAAATATTAAGATCGCTGTGTTGGCTAGGAAAGATGTAATAATAGGGAAGAAGAAATGTAATAATATATTACTCGTATTTATTGCAATTTTTGTAAACCAATTTTCATGTCCAAAGGCAAATTCTGAAGTCAAATTTTCGTTCTCTTAATCGCTGTACCTCGAGGATTTTCTTATTTCTCACCAGCTCTTAGTGGTCCAAATAGTCAAGGATAAATTATATTTCGAAGCGTTACTCGAAGTCGCCGTATAAATTGTAAATCAAAATGGACGTCTTACTGCAAAGGATTAATACTAAGTCCTGCACAGCTCAGCTGATTATTTTTACCGTAAGTTTGATTTAATATTCGTCGTTATCTCTTTGGTCACTCGACTACCTCTTTTCTCTTTTAATACGATCGATTTTTCAATATTCCCTCTCTTAATCTCCCATTTTTTAAAAATTCTTTCCCCTCTTCATCCATCATTTCCAGTGTCAAGATCCCCGTTAGTCGACACTACCAGTCGAATTTATTTTCCTACCAGATACTCGACTGAATTACTTAACACTTTGTTGACTGGCAATTTCACACAGAAACTATGCCGTGTCATCGGCTATTATTTTGTAATCCAATCTTCAAAGTCACTTTCACGATATTCTATATCACCTTGGGTTTCATAAATTGAAATAGACAATGCAAGTGCAATGACGAGTTAACCGGTCAACAATGTGTTAATAAATAATGTTGGGAATTTCGGGAAGGAAATCCAAACGATCAGCGTACAGGGAAGTAACCCGTATTCATTTGTACGGCAATTGGATGTATAAAGTTTAATACAAGTGAAATGTATACTCTTTATGCGAATATACAAATAAAACACGAGAGTCTTTGTCACACCACTGTGGGTCACAATATGTAAGCTATCTGCATTGTTCCGGGTTTGAGAGTGAGAGCAGCGAGGGACAGCAGGCCCTTTTAACCCTTTTAGTACCGAATGAAAAACGGGTCCTATGCGAAGATAACCGGACGAATTTGACGAATTTACTAAGGTTTGGGAAAAAGCTAGTAAAAATGCAGCGTATTACGGAAGAAAGGAAGAATAATGCAATACCAACTATTTTATAAATTTATTTTAAAAACTTGATCGCAATGCGAAGAATAAGGCGTCGTCGCATACGCAACGATATATCGTCGTTGGCACTTTTTGCAAGTGTAGTACTAAAAGGGTTTTAACTAAGGGATTTTTTGACTAAAGAAGGGTACGAGTTGGAAAATTTTCTTCCATAAGGCTGATGATATTTCTTGAACAGTAAATAAGAAATCGTATAATAATTAACACGTAGAATTATTCAATTTCGATACCTCGCACACTGTTACATAATTTTAAATTTGATATATTAATTAATATCGAGCTTATGATATTTCTTGAACAGTAAATAAGAAATCGTATAATAATTAACACGTAGAATTATTCAATTTCAATACCTCGCACACTGTTACATAATTTTAAATTTGATATATTAATTAATATCGAGCTTCGAAATTTGATCAAATGGTGACCTAGAGGCACCTCTCGACTGCAAACGATTAAACCCCCAAAACCGACCCCTTGATGCCTGCATAGTATCTCGAGGTCCAAAGGGGTCGGTATTGGCCTGCAACCTCTAACAAGATATCACCATCGTTGCATAGGCGTAGCTAATTTGCAAGAAATAAAATTGCAAAAGCTTTGGAAATATCTGCGTCGAAGGAGTCTCGCGCTAATTTCATCGAGAGGCTTCTGGCCGCGTCGAAATGGCGATTTCTCTTTGACGCTGCACTCCTTTCCAAGCCTCCTC